GCGGCAGGAAGTACTTCAGGCAAGCCCATCTGCTGGTAGTCCTGGGGGTTGATGTTCCAGCCCCCCGCGATGATGAAGGGCTTGTTCATGTATCTGAGAAACCGAGCCAAGTTTAAGTAGGGATCGTAGTTGGCTGCGAGGTAGGCGGTCGTGTGCGCATACTCCATGTAGACAGATCCCACCAGCAACCCTCCAGTAAGTCCCACATCAACGTGTATGACCACTGCCCAGGCTGGTGTTATGTCAAGGGTTGCTTTGCCATCGGGTCCCTCGACGACGGTGGCTGGTAAGTGAGAGCGCACAAAGGCCCCTGCGCCTGCACTGGGCAAGCCTGTAGGTAATCTGCGGCAGGGCGTGACGAAGGCCTGCGCCTGCGCCAGACGCTCCCACGACTGCGCCTGCGCCAGACGCTCCCCATCGAGTCTCAACTCCTGAGCGCACACAATATTGACCCCTGTCGTACCTTCTGCCAAAAAGGTCCTGCAAGTATCCCAACAAGAACCGTTGAAGGTAGCCACTGCAATATCTTTGCGCTTGGAGCCTCGTGGGGCCCTCCTAGCTGTCGTCGCCCGCGTTCCCCCATGCTGCAGCTTCGACGGGCATCTGGGTGCCAGGTCCTGCTGGTGGAGCTGGGAATGGGGGGCGAAAAGCGGCTGACTGCAGAGGCGGCGGAGCCGCTGCCCTCGGCGGCGAAGTTCCTGTCGCCAGGGAGCCGATGTTGGAGACCTGCTGCTCGATGGTGCTGAGGAGCTGGGCGCCGTCCATGTTCGACGTGCCTGCGCGCGCCGAGACCAGAACAGCTTGAAGCTGCTGGATGGCCACAGAGACGTTAGCCATCGCGGGGGCCCCGTCAGCTGCCACGGCCGCCACTGCAGCCTGGGCGTGGGCGACCTCCGCGCTGAGGTTGGCCGTCTCCGCCTCGAGCCTGGTGAGTTGCTGCTGAGCGTCGGCGAGCTCCTTGGACAACTGCTCAACCTGAGCGGCCTTGGCCGCGCGCTCAGACTCCTTGGCAGCCCACCTGTCTTTGGCGCTCTTGAGCAGGTCGGAGGGGTCCATCTGAGCACGTAGGGCGGACTCCTCCTTGTCGTGGGCGGCCTTGGCGGCGATGACCAGGTCGTGCTCGTCACCGTAGATCCGACGTAAGGCCAGCCACGCACGCTTGGATTTGACTGCCGGGGACTGCTGTGCCGCTGCGTCTCCAGCAGCTTGAGGAGCAGCAGGAGCAGGATCAGCACGCTCGCGCCAGGGCGCCTCGGTGCCGCGCGAAGGAGGCCTCCTGCTGCGGCTGGGCGCCCGCTGGGGGGCGGTCGAGGGCCTGCCGCCCCTGTCCCTGCCGCGCGCCCAGCACGTCGTCCTGCTCGAGTAGTTGTTGCGGAACCCGCAGGCCTTGGACGCTTTGCATGACCATACCTCGCCATGCATCTGCACCTGCTGCGGCTCCTCGGGCGGCGCACTGCCGTGGTGCGTCTGCAGGATTCGCCTGGCGGCGGCCTCGCGCAGAGTCTGGCGCGCACTGGCGCGGCGCCTGCGCAGGCGGCGATGCCAGGCTGGCGACGGGGCCCGCCCGCTGGGGCCGCTCGCCGCCACCGCTGCGCCTGCGCCCGCCGTCGGGCTGCAGGCTGGGGCCAGATGGATGCGCCCGCCGCGCGCCCCCGCGCGCGCGGGCCCAAATGGCAGCCTGAGGAGGAGAAGGAGGAGGAGGAGGAGGAGGAGGAGGAGGAGGAGAGAAGAGAAGGAGCAGAAGGAGGAGAAAGGGGGAGGAGGAAAAGGAGGAGGAGAAGGACGAGGGAGGAGGGAGGAGGATAATACTAAAGAGACGGACGGGGTAGGAGAGAGGAGGGAGGAGGAAATATGAGGAGGAGCAGGCGGACGAAGAGGAAGAGGAGGCGAAGGAGGAACAGGAAGAGTAGGAGAGGGCGGGCGGAAGGGCCACAGGCCTCTCGAAGTCTCTCGGGCCGCATTTGGGAGCACACCGCAGGATGATTGGAACGTTTTGGGGGCCTCTTAGAAAAGGTACGTAGCAGCGCGTCAGTTGATCGAACATCGTTTTGGAGGCGTTCGCGGCACGTCTCTGGATGCGTTCGTAGCACGTCGGAGGATCAAACATCTCTTTGCCCAAACCAGCGCGCGATGCATGTTTATTGAATGGCAGGGTAGCTTGTCATGCGCACGCGCGCAATGCATGGAGCGTAGTTTAATGTTTTCGCTGTTTTCCGGTATTGTTTCAAAATCTCGTTCTTTCCTGCGTGGCGATAGTTTCGACGAGTCGAGGGTAGGGGTATTGATCGACCAGCGTGGTCGTGTGTTGGCCATGGTGTACAGGATCGAGCGGTCGATTGCGCGCGCATACCGAACCAACTGTACAGTGCTCTTCTGAATCGTTTATTGCGTGGGTAACAGGCCGAACGCAGTAAGCAATCGTCGTGGGCTTCGCAGCATTAAAGAGCCCGGCCGCCGTAACCCACAATGTCCCCTTTGGAAACGCCTGCGTAGGAGTTCGTCTCCATATATTTAACTGCCCAGGAGCCCGTCTCCATAGATTCGAAACACAAATTTGTTTGCCACCAAATCATACAGCAGCCTGACATTATTCGACGCGTTTGCACACGCGTTTTCTTCACCTTTTGCTTCTATTCCGTTCGAACTTGGTGTCATAGCGAGGGAACTGATGCACCGCCCCCCAAAACCGCACCATGTGATAAGCGTAATCGTCCACGCCTGGGAACAATCGGAGACTGTTGATGGCTTGTGGAGCTGTAAACTGCTTCCCTGCATAAAGAAGCAAACCATGTGATGTTTTGAAACACGTGGCTTCATGATCTGCCTGGGGCCATGCCACAACGCTCCGCACACCGGTATGACAAGATATCGGCCCCGTCCAATACGGCAAGCCCATCTATTGTTTTGAAAGCGGTTGCTTCTTGACGTCCCTTAAACAAGCGACCGCCAGCGAAAAATGTGATAGTTTCGCTGTTTCGCTTCATCAGATAGAACACGCACGAGCCTGGTGCATCGTATCTGGCGCGCAGCCATAGCATCAGTACCACAATTTGGACCGAGGCATGACGAACGCACTCCACAGAAAATAAACACAAGATAAATAATTCTGAAGCCGACATCATTGGGATTTTGCCAAACATCCCAAATTGAATAATGATGCCAAAACTGTCTGCATGTGCTGTGGTGCCTGAGACTGGCGCCTCCTTTGGGTTCTCTGCTTAGACTCTGTCTGAATACCTCTAGACTTTGGCTTGAAGCCGGGAACTCCATGGCAAGGCACTTCCTTTCCCATGTGGTAAACCGCACAGAAGATCAACCGCGAAGCCTGCGAGCCAACTTCCTGCGTGACAGGACGGTTATGGCGCTGGTGATCACGGTAACTTCCACCAGCCCTCCAGGCGTTGATGGCTTCACGAAATCTTGTCTTTTCTCTCCCAAAGTCCCACATCCTCCTGCCTACCCCATCCCTTGTGCCTGGAAAGGGGGGTTAGGCCAATGGGAGCGCCCAAGATAGCCGAATATGAATCCGACAGAGCCTCAGAGAGCCCCAAATGGCCTCCAATACAGCTGGAGGTCGACGACCTCCAAAAGGCGCCAAAACGATACGAAACCGTTTCCCCGGGAACCGTTTCCCCGGAACCGCTTCCCCGGGACCGTTTCCCCGGAGGACCGTTTCCCCGGAGACCTCTTCCCCGGGGACCGCTTCCCCGGAGGAGCGTTTCCCCGGGACCGTTTCCCCCGTTCCGTTTCCCCGGGAACGCTTGCCCGGAACCGTTTCCCCCGATCCGTTTCCCCGGAGCCGGTTCCCCAGAACCGTTTCCCCGCAGCCGGTTCCCCTGGACCGTTTCCCCGGTGCACCGTTTCCCCGGAACCGCTTCCCCGGAACCTCGGGCTCGGGTCGGGCGGGCGGGACATTCAAACAGAATGCATCATCGAGTTGGCACGCGAGTACCCAAACGGGCGGGACGGGTCCGGCGGGCCGGCGGACCCGAACGGGCGGACCAAAACGGCGGGTCGGGTCGGGCGGGCGGGATTTCAAGTAGAATACATCATCGAACTGGCACGCGAGTACCCTGACGGGCGGGACGGGTCCGGCGGGCTGGGCGGACCCTAACGGGCGGGACGGGTCGGGTCGGGTCAGACGGACCCTAACGGTCGGGACGGGTCGGTCGGGCGGAACGGGTCGGGTCGGGCGGGCGGACCCTAACGGGAAAGGTCGGGTCGGGTCGGGCGGGCGGGACATTAAAGTATGATGCATCATCGAGTTGGCACGCGAGTACCCTAACGGGCGGGACGGGTCCGGCCGTCGGACCCTAACGGACGGGTCGAGTCGGGCGGGCGGACCCTCACGGGCGGGACGGGTCGGGTCGAGCGTGCGGGACATAAAATAATGGTGCATCATCGAGTTGGCACGCGAGTACCCTCACTGAGGGACGGGTCGGGCGGGCGGACCCTACGGGCGGGTCGGGTCGGGTCGGGCGGACATTAAAGTATGGTGCGCCATCGAGTTGGCACGCGAGTACCCTAACGGGCGGGACGGGTCCAGCGGGCGGGCGGACCCTGACGGGCGGGACGGGTCGGGTCGGGCGGGCGGACCCTAACGGGCGGGACGGGTCGGGTCGGGCGGGCAGGACAGTACGGTATGATGCGCCATCGAGTTGGCACGCGAGTACCCTAACGGGCGGGACGGGTCGGGCGGGCGGCCCCTAACGGGCGGGACGGGTCGGGTCGGGTCGGGCAGGACGGGTCGGGTGGGTAGCCCTCGATGATGGATGAGGGAGGAGAGGGGAGGAGGAAGTAGGGAGGGATGAGGGATGTGGGGCGGGGGGACGTAGCGGCAACGAGGGATGGGGGAGGGCGGGAGGGCAGAGAGGGATGGATGAGGAGGAGGAAGAAGAGGAGGAGGAGGAGCAGCAGCAGCAGCAACAGCAGCAGCAGTGTAATGAGAGAGAGTAGCAGGAGGGAATCGCCTCTGTGGAACCCGTCCTGTGAAACCGGTCCTGTGGAACCTGCAGTCCTGTGGAACCGGGCTTATGGAACTGGTTCTGTGGTACCGGTCCTGCGGAACTGGTCCTGTGGAACCAGTTCCGTGGAACCGGTTCTGCGGAACCGGTCCTGTTGAACCGGTCTTTGTTGAAACGGTCCTTGCTGAACTGGTCGTCTGTTGAACCGGTGTCTGTTGAACTGGTCGTCTGTTGAACCGGTCCCTGTTGAACCGGTCGTCTGTTGAACCGGTCTTCTTCCGCCAAAACAGCTGCACGGTTCCAGGCGCCAGTCGAGCGTTCAAAGGGTTCCAAGACTCCAAAAACCTGCAAAAACCGATGGGTCCGAGAGCACGCTGTCCAGTTCGAATCATTTCAGGGGAGTCCCGGGGGATTGCGGGGTCAGATGCGTTTTTCCACGGGCGGCCCCGGAAACTCGAAAAGTCCCAGAAAGAACGCAGAATGCCGAAGACGGCCTCCAAGACGGTGCGAAAGGGCCCCGAGTCGCCCGAAGATCGGCCCAAGATGCCCAAGATGGCCCGAAGACGGCCCAAGAAGCCTCCAAGACGTCCCACGGGGCTTTCAAGAGCACCCCCAAGAAGGCCCCAAGAGGCCACAATCATTGAATGGGGGAACGTACCTTTTTCGCATATACGACTTGTCGGCCATCACGGCGTTGAAGACGGTTCCAAGTTCCCCAAAAGAGGCCCCAAGAGGTCCCCAGGACGCCCCAATGAGGCCCCAAAACAGTCCTTTCCTCCTCCATCTCCTCCTCCTCCTCCTCCTCCTCCTCCTCCTCCTCCTCCTCCTCCCCCTCCTCCTCCACCTCCTCCTCCTCCTCCTCCTCCTCCTCCTCCTCCTCCTCTTCCTCCCCTTCCCTTGCTCCTCTTGCTCTCGCTCCTCCTCTGCCTCCTCCTCCTCCTCCCCCTCGGCGCCACGTGGTCGTATTTGCGCCCTGTGCGGCTGCGCACACCTCGCGTGATTTCGGTTTCAAAGGGCAAGGGCGACGGAGGCGACGTGTGACAGAAGTGTGCGAGAGCGCCTCGTCCGCGCAGACCTCGCGTGATTTCGGTTTGAAAGCAAGTGCGAAGGCGGCGACGTCTTGTCGAAGTGTCCGGGGGCGCGCTGTCCAGACAGTTCGAAGACATCGAAATCCAAGGGCAAAGGCAACGGAGGCGACGTGGTCACTCGAATCATTGATAGCGGGGGATTGCAAATCCCCCGTCTTTTTGTTGTCTCTCTCTCTCTCTCTCTTTGATCCGGGGCCTCGAAGACGGCCCCTAGAGATTTTCAATACCTCCCCAGAGAGCCGCAAGAGGGCCCCAAGACCCACCAAAGGAACTCCAAGAGAGCCCTAAAAGGCAGCACGGGGATCCCAACAGGGTATATTGGAGGGTGAAAGAAGGGGTCTGCAACAGGGGGTCTGCAATAGGAGCTGACTGGCCCATGTATGCTCAATATATCGCTGATGTATGTGATCGGGTACGATTGGCATCCAATGTTGGCGGTCATGGAGGGCTAGTCGTTCGTGCCCGCGCGTTGCCCGCGCGGGCAAACGCGCCGTCCATCCATTATCGTTCATGCGTGCAGGCGTTCTTGCATATCGCGCGTGGGGCGGCGAAGTGGAATGCAAGTCTGTCTTGATTGTGCGATTGATAATCGAGTATGTTCCCAAACCATGACTTGTCGACCCCTTTGACAGATTTGGAATGGGCCCCGCGATTTTCCCAAAATGTGCATTCACACTTTCCTTTTTCCGAATATGTGAGTTCACATTCTGGCCCTTTCATGAAGATTTCCATACAAAAGTCCAAGATGCGAATTCACGCCATCCTCCTTCCCAGAATGTGAATTCACATTTTCCTTTTCCCAACATGTGAATTCACATGTTGCTTTTCCCCACAATGTAAACTCACATGTTGCCCTGGCCCTCAAGGTCCATGTCAGATTGGCCGGGCAGATTTTGACACTCACCCCGCCGCTTTTATTCCAACCTTCTCTTCTCGCGCCCTCAGCGCACGTTGCTTTCGTCGCTTTTCCGCAGCCCCCCGACTCCTTGCTTCGTCTACCCTCAAGTCTCGCGCGCGGGTGCAGGCGGGGAGCTTCAATTGGCTCCACATCGAGCCGCATCGGCGATGCATCGGCGATGCGGCGCGATCCTCCGACCCCATCGACTCCGACCCCATCCAGGAGGCCTACAGACGCACGGAGCCCCACGCATGATGAGCGCGACCTCGAAGCATCCCGGGATCTCAAGCCACTGCAGCGTTTGGGTGCCCAGGGGGAGGCAAAGGGCCCCCGGCCCCCGGAGGGGGGCGGCCAACGGCTCTCCGGCGCCCCGCCTGGGCACCCCCGGAAACGCCTCGGCGAGGCGCAGCTTCTGAGAGCACCCCGAGCGCACGGGCGCTAAGCTCTCGAGAGTATGCGCGCCGCCATCCTGGAATCGGCGCCGGAACACTCTGCTCCGCGCCAGAGGAGCGCACCAGAGGAGCGCGCCAGAGGCGCCGCCAGGGGCCTTGATGCAAGCGCCGATCCAAGGAAGCCGCGCGCGGGCCCCCGCAAGCTCGTGTGCCGTGCTGCTTTGTCTTGGGGGAGCCAGGAGGTACCGATGTAATGGCTACTGCCCGGACCTCTCCCGGGGTGCGTTGTGACCCGATGCTTTCAAAAGCGATATCCAGCGGTGGGGACGAGGGCCTCCCAGGAGGCCCAGAAAGGCGCACGCGAGGGCAGGGCAGCGGTGCAGGTGCCTTTTCCTCCTCCGAGCTGTTCTTCTTGGAGAGCGGGGATCAGAGCGGGGGGGTGAGAGGCAACATCAGCGGGGGAGGGGGAAGAGCTCAGGGGAGACCCTGGAAATCCTGTCCCGGGGCCCGGTGAAGGCCCCGGAACACCGACAGACCAAGCATCGACCGCTCTCCTCTGATTCGCTGAAGGCTCGGATCTCTACGCCTGGGCACGAAGGCGTCAGCGCGGAACCCAAAGAAAAACAAGAACTACAGCTTCCCCCCATCCTCCTCCTCCTCCTCCTCCTCCTCCTCCTCCTCCTCCTCCTCAGACCTCTCCTGGGGCGCGCCCTGGCCCGCCTTTCGCGGCGAGTCCAGCCGCGGTGCCGAGGGCCTCCCAGGAGGCCCTGGAGCTGATGGGCACTTGCGCTGCACCAGAAAGCGCAAGATCGCACGATGCACGCCATGCGTCGCATGAGAAGGCCTGGACTCATCATGGAAACCACTTGGCAGGCGACACGCTGTGTCCACCTGTGCGAGCGTGCTGCCAACAGCACCATGGGGACTTGCTTCCACTGTGGGTGGCGAAGCATAGCCGTGCGAGCATCGCGCGAGGAGGCGGCAGGGGCGCCGAGGCGAGGGAGGAGGGGAACACGCTGGAGTGAGCTTCTTGGGGTGCGCAAGGATGCAGGACCGCAGAGGAGGAGGAGGAGGAGGAGGAGGAGGAGGAGGAGGAGGAGGAGGAGGAGCTGATGGGCACAGGCCGCCGCGACGCCCCTGTCGCTCCACAGGAGCGCCGCGACGGGCGCGAAGGCCGCAGAGCGGGCGGCCCGAGCCCCCCCCCACCCCACCCCACCCCCCCCCAGCCCTGCGCCCTTCGGGCCCGCCCTGGGCGCCCCCCTGGGCGACTGGGGCCGCGCGGGGCCCTGTCGGGCCTGCCCCCGCGCCCCGAGCAGCTCGAGGCGGAGGCGCTTCGCGGCGCCTGGCCTAGCTGGGGCCCTCGCCGAGTCCCGGGGGGCCGCGGGCAAAACGGACTCGGGATGAGGAGCTGGCCCCAGGAAGATTGAGCAGGGACCGACCGTCCCAGCATTTCTACAGGCCTACCCCAAACATGTTCTAAGAACAAGAGCAATGTTCTTAGAACATGAACCCGATGTGTTAAAACAAGACAGACTCAGCCAGGCAGATTCTAAGAACATTTCGTGCAAACCCAAAAAGGTTCTTAGAACATTCTTTGGTATGCCTATAGGCGAGCCAGGACGCTTCGCCACTGCAAGAAGGTCCAGACCTCCGTGGGGGCCCGCATGGAGAAAGTCAAAAAAGGCAGCATCGGGGGCCTGGGCGGGGGCCACGTCCCGAGGGAAACTGCACGGCGACCAGAAAACATACATACGACGCCGTTCCTGCCGCTGGAGGGCCGCATCGCGTCGGCAAGGGGCGGCATGGGGTCGGCGCCGCGTCGGCGATGTCGCGCACCTGCCCTGGCAACAAACGGCACGCGCTCTGTTTATACGAACGCCGCCCTCCGCTTCAGGCTGCGGCGGGAAATGCGCCGGCGACCGTCTCCTCGGCCGCGGCGCTGAGCGGGCGGCCCCCCGGCAGGATCGCCTCGACGCGCCAGGCTCCGGGGCCCAGCCTGCCCGCGCGGTGCTCGGCCACGAGCTGGAGGTGGATGTCTGCGAGGCGGGCGGTGGGCGCCGCCCTGATCCTGCATCGCTCCACCCCGCCGATGGTGACGAAAACCATTGAGCCGCCATCGAGCGACACCTGCAGGAGCAGCGCTGGAAGCAAATGAGCTGTGTAGGTCAGGCCCGCGGGCAGCGCCAGGAGGTCGCACTGATCATCATCATTCCGGCCGCAGGCCACGGCGGTGCCGTCGCTCCTGAGCAGCACCGTGTGGCGCCATCCAGCGGCGACCTGCGTGTAGGTCAGGCCCGCGGGCAGCGCCGGGGGGTCGCACTGACCATCAGTAATCAGGCCGCAGGCCACGGCGGTGCCGTCGCTCCTGAGCAGCACCGTGTGGAGCCCTCCAGCGGCGACCTGCGTGTAGGTCAGGCCCGCGGGCAGCGCCGGGAGGTCGCACTGACCAAAAGCATTGCTGTCGCGGGCCACGGCGGTGCCGTCGCTCCTGAGCAGCACCGTGTGGCACCCTCCAGCGGCGACCTGCGCGTAGGTCAGGCCCGCGGGCAGCGCCGGGAGGACGCACTGACCATCATCATTCCGGCCGCAGGCCACGGCGGTGCCGTCACTCCTGAGCAGCACCGTGTGGCGCCCTCCAGCTGCGACCTGCGTGTAGGTCAGGCCCGCGGGTAGCGCCGGGAGGTCGCTCTGACCAAAAGCGTTCCGGCCGCAGGCCGCGGCGGTGCCGTCGCTCCTGAGCAGCACCGTGTGGAACCCTCCAGCGGCGACCTGCGTGTAGGTCAGGCCCGCGGGCAGCGCGTGGAGGTCGCACTGACCATCAGCAATCAAGCCGCAGGCCACGGCGGTGCCGTCGCTCCTGAGCAGCACCGTGTGGCAATCTCCAGCGGCGACCTGCGTGTAGGTCAGGCCCGCGGGCAGCGCCGGGAGGTCGTTCTGACCATCAGCATTCCAGCCGCGGGCCACGGCGGTGCCGTCGCTCCTGAGCAGCACCGTGTGAATCTCTCCAGCGGCCAGCATCTGCAGCAAACGGGGGAAGGGTAGCGGCGTGGGTACCTTGTCCTCCTCTGAGCCAGCGCGGAACGCTGCAGTGGAAGCGAGGGCGCGTACGCGCGACCTGGCGCGTGCAGCTTGCGCGCGGAAGCCCGGGCAGACTGCCCCGTCTCTCCCTCTCCACGGAGCCTGGGCCCCTCGAGCCGCGGTCCCGAGAGAGAGGCCCGGGGGCCTGCCCCGAGGTCCGGCGCTGGAAGATAGAGGCAACATCGCGGACCGTCGCGACCAGAGCCCGGCGGCGAGCGAGGGGCGGAAGTGAGGAGGAGGTGGCCTTCCCAGAAGGCGGCGGGATTTCTCAGGAGCCCTCGCGCCTTCCGGGAAGCTTTCTGTGCCTTCGGGGGCTTCGGAAACATACCATCAGGCTGGGGGACTTCCGAACCTTTTGAGAAGGCCTCCTCCTTCTCACTTCCCCCCTCGCTCGCCGCCGGAAAATAGATGCACCATCGCAAACAGTCGCGACCAGAGCCCTGGACTTATGTTACTCCCATCGTACTTAAGGACCATACCCCAGAAATGTGCTGTCGAGCACCCAGGCAAGTATCGAGATAGTGTCTGCCCGACACGCTGGCGAAATGTCGAACGAGTATCGCCTGCCAGGGCCCGACACGTGAACACCCTCCGGTGTCGGCATTTTCATGGCGCTCGAAATTCGCTCTGGTGGTCAAGGCTGAAGTGTGTTGGAACATCTTCACCCTAGACCCGATCACCCTGCTGCATGTGTCGAGCAGGATGGATCTGTGATGGCCCCGGGGCCCGAAACCAAGCCAAGGTGTGAAAACACTGCAGCGCTCGGATCTCGGGGTGCTGCGACCGTCGCCGATATCCAGGCCCGCGCCTCGAGCAATCCTGCCAAGCGCCTCGAGCAGTCCTGCCAGGCCAGAGGCACGGCCGCCCCCCTCGCCCTGGGAGGGGGCTCGGTGCACGTCGCCTGGTCGGCAGGGGAGCTCGGCTCGTAGACGCCCCAGCTGCCCAGGCCGTGGGACGCTGGAGCGCCCGTACGTTTTGGCGATCGCGGCCTCGCGCGCAGCGTCGGGGCGGAGCAGGGCGAGCAGACGGCACAGAGCCAACGCGCCCGGCTGGAGCGTCCGTGCACCCGATGCCTTCGCCGAGTCCGCTGGCTCCCTGGCCGACCAGACGACGCGGCGGTACATGTTCCAGGGCTCCCGGCCCGCGGGCCCCGCCCCCCCAGATGGGACGGGTCCCGGGGAACCGCGGGCCCCCTGGCTCCACATCGAGCCGCATCGGCGATGCATCGGCGATGCATCGGCGATGCGACGCGGGCCTTGGAACAGAGTTATATATATATATACACATATATATATACACATATACCTACCTACCTACCTACCTACCTACCTACCTACCTACCTACCTACCGACCGACCGACCGACCGACCGACCGACCGACCGACCGACCTACCTACCTACCTACCTACCTACATACATACATACATACGCATGCATGCATGCATGCATGCATGCATGCATACACACAATCACACACACATATACATATATATATATATATATACATACACGAGTGTACCGGCTCGCTGCGCTTCGCCTTTACAACTTTGGTCGCATGGCGCCTGGGAATCGTTCTGGGACACATGGCCGGCAATGCTTGTCGCTGTCGTAGGGCTCATGGGAGGCCGTTGGGCCTTCGGGCGTATAGGGATCGGAGGACCCAGTGTGCATAGGGCTCAAGAGGCTTGTTTAGGCCGCAGAGGCCGTATGGCTCATAGGGCTTTGGCTTCGGAAGATGTCCCTGGCGCCTTCGGCGCCAGGGACGGGTTTGAACATCTCGGGACCTCCTTTTGGCCTTGTGGCCCTTCGCGCTGGTCTCTGGGTCCTCCATGGGGTGTTCTGGCGCCTCATGAGCCTTCATGTAGGCCTGTGGGGCTGGATGGCTCGGATTGTGGTTTCGCGTTTCTTCTCTTGGGCGTTTCTCGGAGCAGTCTTGAAGCCCTCTTCGGGCAGTCTTTGAGGCCGTCTTTGGCCGTCTTGCGGCTTTCTTGAGCTGTCTTAGGGTGTTGCCTAGGGGTCTCTTGGGCCGCCGTCGTTGGCGGTCTTGGGGTGTTTTTTTAAACTGTCGCCGAGATTCGGGGCGATGAACTGACGAGGACGCTAAAATTTATAAGAGAACAGTGAACAGTGTTGACGGTTCGCGTATCCCCACCAGCCCATCCAGAAACGATCGGGTAGTTGAGGCAATCTGGGAAGCGGGAGAGCATGCAGAATCTCAAAAGGCGAGAGAAGCCGCGAGTTGGACCAGGAGGAAGCGCGGGGAGGCGGAGGAGGAGGAGGAGGAGGAGGAGGAGGAGGAGGAGGAGGAGGAGGGGGAGGAAGGGGAGGGGGAGGAGGAGGAGGAGGAGGAGGAGGAGGAGGAGGAGGAGAGAAGAGAAGGAGCAGAAGGAGGAGAAAAGGGGGAGGAGGAAAAGGAGGAGGAGAAGGACGAGGGAGGAGGGAGGAGGATAAGACTAAAGAGACGGACGGGGTAGGAGAGAGGAGGGAGGAGGAAATATGAGGAGGAGCAGGCGGACGAAGAGGAAGAGGAGGCGAAGGAGGAACAGGAAGAGTAGGAGAGGGCGGGCGGAAGGGCCACAGGCCTCTCGAAGTCTCTCGGGCTGCATTTGGGAGCGCACTGCAGGATGATTGGAACGTTTTGGGGACCTCTTGGAAAAGGTACGTAGCAGCGCGTCAGTTGATCGAACATCGTTTTGGAGGCGTTCGCGGCACGTCTCTGGATGCGTTCGTAGCACGTCGGAGGATCAAACATCTCCTTGCCCAAACCAGCGCGCGATGCATGTTTATTGAATGGCAGGGTAGCTTGTCATGCGCACGCGCGCAATGCATGGAGCGTAGTTTAATGTTTTCGCTGTTCTCCGGTATTGATTCAAAATCTCGTTTTCTTTCCTGCGTGGCGATAGTTTCGACGAGTCGAGGGTAGGGGTATTGATCGACCAGCGTGGTCGTGCGTTGGCCATGGTGTACAGGATCGAGCGGTCGATTGCGCGCGCATACCGAACCAACTGTACAGTGCTCTTCTGAATCGTTTATTGCGTGGGCAACAGGCCGAACGCAGTAAGCAATCGTCGTGGGCTTCGCAGCATTAAAGAGCCCGGCCGCCGTAACCCGAAATGTCCCCTGTGGAAACGCCTGCGTAGGAGTTCGTCTCCATATATTTAACTGCCCAGGAGCCCGTCTCCATAGATTCGAAACACAAATTTGTTTGCCACCAAATCATACAGCAGCCTGACATTATTCGACGCGTTTGCACACGCGTTTTCTTCACCTTTTGATTATATTCCGTTCGAACTTGGTGTCATAGCGAGGGAACTGATGCACCGCCCCCCAAAACCGCACCATGTGATAAGCGTAATCGTCCACGCCTGGGAACAATCGGAGACTGTTGATGGCTTGTGGAGCTGTAAACTGCTTCCCTGCATAAAGAAGCAAACCATATGATGTTTTGAAACACGTGGTTTCATGATCTGCCTGGGGCCATGCCACAACGCCCCGCACACTGGTATGACAAGATATCGGCCCCGTCCAATACGGCAAGCCCATCTTTTGTTTTGAAAGCGGTTGCTTCTTGACGTCCCTTAAACAAGCGACCGCCAGCGAAATATGTGATAGTTTCGCTGTTTCGCTTCATCAGATAGAACACGCACGAGCCTGGTGCATCGTATCTGGCGCGCAGCCATAGCATCAGTACCACAATTTGGACCAGGCATGACGAACGCACTCCACAGAAAATAAACATAAAATAAATAATTCTGAAGCCGACATCATTGGGATTTTGCCAAACATCCCAAATTGAATAGTGATGCCAAAACTGTCTGCATGTGTTGTGGTGCCTGAGACTGGCGCCTCCTTTGGGTTCTCTGCTTAGACTCTGTCTGAATACCTATAGACTTTGGCTTGAAGCCGGGAACTCCATGGCAAGGCACTGCCTTTCCCATGTGGTAAAACTGCACAGAAGATCGACCGCGAAGCCTGCGAGCCAACTTCCTGCGTGACAGGACGGTTATGGCGCTGGTGATCACGGTAACTTCCACCAGCCCTCCGGGCGTTGATGGCTTCACGAAATATTCTCTTTTCTCTCCCAAAGTCCCACATCCTCCTGCCTACCCCATCCCTTGTGCCTGGAAAGGGGGGTTAGGCCAATAGGAGCGCCCAAGATAGCCGAATATGAATCCGACAGAGCCTCAGAGAGCCCCAGATGGCCTCCAATACAGCTGGAGGTCGACGACCTCCAAAAGGCGCCAAAACGATACGAAACCGTTTCCCCGGGAACCGTTCGTTTCCCCGGAACCGCTTCCCCGGGACCGTTTCCCCGGAGGACCGTTTCCCCGGAGACCTCTTCCCCGGGGACCGCTTCCCCGGAGGAGCGTTTCCCCGGGACCGTTTCCCCCGTTCCGTTTCCCCGGGAACGCTTGCCCGGAACCGTTTCCCCCGATCCGTTTCCCCGGAGCCAGTTCCCCAGAACCGTTTCCCCGCAGCCGGTTCCCCTGGACCGTTTCCCCGGTGCACCGTTTCCCCGGAACCGCTTCCCCGGAACCTAACGGACTCGGGTCGGGCGGGCGGAACATTCAAACAGAATGCATCATCGAGTTGGCACGCGAGTACCCAAACGGGCGGGACGGGTCCGGCGGGCCGGCGGACCCGAACGGGCGGACCCAAACGGGCTCGGGTCGGGCGGGCGGGACATTCAAGTAGAATACATCATCGAATTGGCACGCGAGTAGCCTGACGGGCGGGACGGGTCCGGCGGGCGGGCGGACCCTAACGGGCGGGACGGGTCGGGTCGGGTCGGACGGACCCTAGCGGTCGGGGCGGGTCGGGTCGGGCGGGACATTAAAGAATGATGCACCATCGAGTTGGCACGCGAGCACCTTAACGGGCGAGACGGTCCCGGCGGGCGGGCGGACCCTAACGGGCGGGACGGGTCGGGTCGGGCGGTTGCGACATTAGGGCACGCCGTGGCGCGCGGGTCGGGTTCGGGCTCTTCCGCGCCGGACATTAAAGTATGTAGTGCCCATCGACTTGGCACGCGAGTACCTACGGGCGGGACGGGTCCGGCGGGCCGTCGGACCTAACGGGTTCGGGACGGGTTCGGGTGGGGGGCGGACCCTTACGGGGGGACGGGTCGGGTCGGGCGGGCAGGACGTTAAAGTATGATGCACCATCGAGTTGGCACGCGATAAACCCTCACGGGCGGGACGGGTCCGGCGGCCCGGCGGACCCTAACGGGCGGGACGGGTCCGGCGGGCGGGCGGACCCTAACGGGCGGGACGGGTCGGGTCGGGCTGGCGGGATATAAAAGTATGATGCATCATCGAGATGGCACGCGAATACGCTAACGGGCGGGACGGGTCTGGCGCGCGGGCGGACCCTAACGGGCGGGACGGGTCGGGTCGGGTCGGGCGGACTCTAACGGGCGGGACGGGTCGGGTCGGGCGTGCGGGACATTAAAGTATGGTGCGCCATCGTGTTGGGGCCGCGAGTACCCTAACGGGCGGGACGGGTCCGGCGGGCGGACCCTAACGGGCGGGTCGGGTCGGGCCGGGCGGACATTAAAGTATGGTGCGCCATCAAGTTGGCACGCGAGTACCCTAACGGGCGGGGCGGGTCCGGCGGGCGGGCGGACCCTGACGGGCGGAACGGGTCGGGCGGGCGGACCCTAACGGGCGGGACGGGTCGGGTCGGGCGGGCGGACCTTAACGGGCGGGTCGGGTCGGGTCGGGCGGGCGGGACATTAAAATATGCTGCACCATCGAGTTGGCACGCGAGTGCCTTAACGGGCGGGACGGCCCTGGCGGGCAGACCCTAACGGGCGGGTCGGGTCGGGCGGGCTGGACATTAAAGTGTGGCGCATACACGACCGAGCACGCGAGAACCCTAACGGGCGGGTCGGGCGAGACGGGGTGGGTTGGGCGGGCAGACTCTAACGGGCGGGTCGGGACGGGTCGGCGGGCGGACCCTAACGGGCGGGACGGGTCGGGTCGGGGCGGGCGGAACCCTAACGGGCGGGACGGGTCGGGTCGGGCGGGCGGGACATTACAGTATGATGCACCATCGAGTTGGAACGCGAATACCCTGACGGGCGGGACGGGCCCCGCGGGCGGACCCTAACGGGCGGGACGGGTCGGGTCGGGCGGACATCAAAGTATGGTGCGCCATCGAGTTGGCACGCGAGTACCCTAACGGGCGGGACGGGTCCGGCAGGCGGGCGGACCCTGACGGGCGGGACGGGTCGGGTCGGGCGGGCGGGACCCTAACGGGCGGGCGGGTTCGGGTCGGGGCGGCGGGCGGGCAGGACGGTACGGTATGATGCGCCACGGTTGGCACGCGTGTACCCTAACGGGGCGGGACTGGGTCGGGGGGCGGCCCCTAACGGGCGGGACGGGTCGGGTTGGTCGGGGCCAGTGCTCTCGGCGTGGTTTGGCTCTCGATGATGGTTGAGGGGGTGAGGAGAGGGGAGAGGAAGTAGGGAGGGGTATGAGGATTGGGGCGGGGGGGGTCGGGCTGGCGGCAACGTAGGGAGGGGGAGGGCGGGAGGGCCAGAGAGGGATGGATGAGGAGGAGGAGGAAGAAGAGGAGGAGGACAGCAGCAGCTAGCAGAAACAGCAGCAGCAGTGTATTAGAGAGAGTAGCAGGAAGGGATCGCCTCTGTGGAACCCGTCCTGTGGAACCGGTCCTGTGGAACCTGCAGTCCTGTGGAACCGGGCTTATGGAACCGGTTCTGTGGTACCGGTCCTGCGGAACCGGTCCTGTGGAACCGGTTCCGTGGAACCGGTTCTGCGGAACCGGTCCTGTTGAACCGGTCTTTGTTGAACCGGTCCTTGCTGAACTGGTCGTCTGTTGAACCGGTGTCTGTTGAACTGGTCGTCTGTTGAACTGGTCCCTGTTGAACCGGTCGTCTGTTGAACCGGTCTTCTTCCGCCAAAACAGCTGCACGGTTCCAGGCGCCAGTCGAGCGTTGAAAGGGTTCCAAGACTCCAAAAACCTGCAAAAACCGATGGGTCCGAGAGCACGCTGTCCGGTTCGAATCATTTCAGGGGAGTCCCGGGGGATTGCGGGGTCAGATGCGTTTTTCCTCGGGCGGCCCCGGAAACTCGAAAAGTCCCAGAAAGAACGCAGAATGCCGAAGACGGCCTCCAAGACGGTGCGAAAGGGCCCCGAGTCGCCCGAAGATCGGCCCAAGATGCCCAAGATGGCCCGAAGACGGCCCAAGAAGCCTCCAAGACGTCCCGCGGGGCTTCCAAGAGCACCCCCAAGAAGGCCCCAAGAGGCCACAATCATTGAATGGGGGAACGTACCTTTTTCGCATATACGACTTGTCGGCCATCACGGCGTTGAAGACGGTTCCAAGTTCCCCAAAAGAGGCCCCAAGAGGTCCCCAGGACGCCCCAATGAAGCCCCAAAACAGCCCTTTCCTCCTCCATCTCCTCCTCCTCCTCCTCCTCCTCCTCCTCCTCCTCCTCTTCCTCCCCTTCCCTTGCTCCTCTTGCTCTCGCTCCTCCTCTGCCTCCTCCTCCTCCTCCCCCTCGGCGCCACGTGGTCGTATTTGCGCCCTGTGCGGCTGCGCACACCTCGCGTGATTTCGGTTTCAAAGGGCAAGGGCGACGGAGGCGACGTGTGACAGAAGTGTGCGAAAGCGCCTCGTCCGCGCAGACCTCGCGTGATTTCGGTTTGAAAGCAAGTGCGAAGGCGGCGACGTCTTGTCGAAGTGTCCGGGGGCGCGCTGTCCAGACAGTTCGAAGACATCGAAATCCAAGGGCAAAGGCAACGGAGGCGACGTGGTCACTCGAATAATTGATAGCGGGAGATTGCAAATTCCCCGTCTTTTTTTTGTCTCTCTCTCTCTCTCTCTTTGACCCGTGGCCTCGAAGACGGCCCCTAGAGATTTTCAATACCTCCCCAGAGAGCCGCAAGAGGGCCCCAAGACCCACCAAAGGAACTCCAAGAGAGCCCTAACAGGCAGCACGGGGATCCCAACAGGGTATATTGGAGGGTGAAAGAAGGGGTCTGCAACAGGGGGTCTGCAATGGGAGCTGACTGGCCCATGTATGCTCAATATATCGCTGATGTATGTGATCGGGTACGATTGGCATCCAATGTTGGCGGTCATGGAGGGCTAGTCGTTCGTGCCCGCGCGTTGCCCGCGCGGGCAAACGCGCCGTCCATCCATTATCGTTCATGCGTGCAGGCGTTCTTGCATATCGCGCGTGGGGCGGCGAAGTGGAATGCAAGTGTGTGTCTTGATTGTGCGATTGATAATCGAGTATGTTCCCAAACCATGACTTGTCGACCCCTTTGACAGATTTGGAATGGGCCCCGCGATTTTCCCAAAATGTGCATTCACACTTTCCTTTTTCCGAATATGTGAATTCACATTCTGGCCCTTTCATGAAGATTTCCATACAAAAGTCCAAGATGCGAATTCACGCCATCCTCCTTCCCAGAGTGTGAATTCACATTTTCCTTTTCCCAACATGTGAATTCACATGTTGCTTTTCCCCACAATGTAAATTCACATGTTGCCCTGGCCCTCAAGGTCCATGTCAGATTGGCTGGGCAGATTTTGACACTCACCCCGCCGCTTTTATTCCAACCTTCTCTTCTCGCGCCCTCAGCGCACGTTGCTTTCGTCGCTTTTCCGCAGCCCCCCGACTCCTTGCTTCGTCTACCCTCAAGTCTCGCGCGCGGGTGCAGGCGGGGAGCTTCAATTGGCTCCACATCGAGCCGCATCGGCGATGCATCGGCGATGCGGCGCGATCCTCCGACCCCATCGACTCCGACCCCATCTAATTAGGAGGCCTACAGACGCACGGAGCCCCACGCATGATGAGCGCGACCTCGAAGCATCCCGGGATCTCAAGCCACTGCAGCGTTTGGGTGCCCAGGGGGAGGCAAAGGGCCCCCGGCCCCCGGAGGGGGGCGGCCAACGGCTCTCCGGCGCCCCGCCTGGGCACCCCCGGAAACGCCTCGGCGAGGCGCAGCTTCTGAGAGCACCCCGAGCGCACGGGCGCTAAGCTCTCGAGAGTATACGCCGGCCGCTATCCTGGAATCGGCGCCGGAACACTCTGCTCCGCGCCAGAGGAGCGCGCCGGAGGAGCGCGCCAGAGGCGCCGCCAGGGGCCTTGATGCAAGCGCAGATCCAAGGAAGCCGCGCGCGGGCCCCCGCAAGCTCGTGTGCCGTGCTGCTTTGTCTTGGGGGAGCCAAGAGGTACCGATATAATGGCTACTGCCCGGACCTCTCCCGGGGTGCGTTGTGACCTGATTTTTCCAAAGCGAATCCAGCGGTGGGGACGAGGGCCTCCCAGGAGGCCCAGAAAGGCGCACGCGAGGGCAGGGTAGCGGTGCAGGTGCCTTTTCCTCCTCCGAGTTGTTCTTCTTGGCGAGCGGGGATCAGAGCGGGGGGGTGAGAGGCAACATCAGCGGGGGAGGGGGAAGAGCTCAGGGGAGACCCTGGAAATCCTGTCCCGGGGCCCGGTGAAGGCCCCGGAACACCGACAGACCAAGCATCGACCGCTCTCCTCTGATTCGCTGAAGGCTCGGATCTCTACGCCTGGGCACGAAGGCGTCAGCGCGGAACCCAAACAAAAACAAGAGCTACAGCTTCCCCCCATCCTCCTCCTCCTCCTCCTCCTCCTCCTCCTCCTCCTCCTCCTCCTCAGACCTCTCCTGGGGCGCGCCCTGGCCCGCCTTTCGCGGCGAGTCCAGCCGCGGTGCCGAGGGCCTCCCAGGAGGCCCTGGAGCTGATGGGCACTTGCGCTGCATCAGAAAGCGCAAGCTCGCAGGATGCACGCCATGCGTCGCATAAGAAGGCCTGGACTCATCATGGAAACCACGTGGCAGGCGACACGCTGTGTCCACCTGTGCGAGCGTGCTGCCAACAGCACCATGGGGACTTGCTTCCACTGTGGGTGGCGAAGCATAGCCGTGCGAGCATCGCGCGAGGAGGCGGCAGGGGCGCCGAGGCGAGGGAGGAGGGGAACACGCTGGAGTGAGCTTCTTGGGGTGCGCAAGGATGCAGGACCGCAGAGGAGGAGGAGGAGGAGGAGGAGGAGGAGGAGGAGGAGGAGGAGGAGGAGCTGATGGGCACAGGCCGCCGCGACGCCCCTGTCGCTCCACAGGAGCGCCGCGACGGGCGCGAAGGCCGCAGAGCGGGCGGCCCGAGCCCCCCCCCCCACCCCCCCCAGCCCTGCGCCCTTCGGGCCCGCCCTGGGCGCCCCCCTGGGCGACTGGGGCCGCGCGGGGCCCTGTCGGGCCTGCCCCCGCGCCCCGAGCAGCTCGAGGCGGAGGCGCTTCGCGGCGCCTGGCCTAGCTGGGGCCCTCGCCGAGTCCCGGGGGGCCGCGGGCAAAACGGACTCGGGATGAGGAGCTGGCCCCAGGAAGATTGAGCAGGGACCGACCTTCCCAGCATTTCTATAGGCCTACCCCAAACATGTTCTAAGAACAAGAGCAATGTTCTTAGAACATGAACCCGATGTGTTAAAACAAGGCAGACTCAGCCAGACAGATTCTAAGAACATTTCGTGCAAACCCAAAAAGGTTCTTAGAACATTCTTTGGTATGCCTATAGGCGAGCCAGGACGCTTCGCCACTGCAAGAAGGTCCAGACCTCCGGGGGGGCCCGCATGGAGAAAGTCAAAAAAGGCAGCATCGGGGGCCTGGGCGGGGGCCACGTCCCGAGGGAAACTGCACGGCGACCAGAAAACATACATACGACGCCATTCCTGCCGCTGGAGGGCCGCATCGCGTCGGCAAGGGGCGGCATGGGGTCGGCGCCGCGTCGGCGATGTCGCGCACCTGCCCTGGCAACAAACGGCACGCGCTCTGTTTATACGAGCGCCGCCCTCCGCTTCAGGCTGCGGCGGGAAATGCGCCGGCGACCGTCTCCTCGGCCGCGGCGCTGAGCGGGCGGCCCCCCGGCAGGATCGCCTCGACGCGCCAGGCTCCGGGGCCCAGCCTGCCCGCGCGGTGCTCGGCCACGAGCTGGAGGTGGATGTCTGCGAGGCGGGCGGTGGGCGCCGCCCTGATCCTGCATCGCTCCACCCCGCCGATGGTGACGAAAACCATGGAGCCGCCATCGAGCGACACCTGCAGGAGCAGCGCTGGAAGCAAATGAGCTGTGTAGGTCAGGCCCGCGGGCAGCGCCGGGAGGTCGCACTGACCATCATCATTCCAGCCGCAGGCCACGGCGGTGCCGTCGCTCCTGAGCAGCACCGTGTGGCTCCATCCAGCGGCGACCTGCGTGTAGGTCAGGCCCGCGGGCAGCGCCCGGATGCGGCATGTACCAAGATCATTGTCCGCCGCGGGGCCACGGCGGTGCCCGTCGCTCTGAGCACACCGTGTGGCGCCCTTGAGGCGGCGGCCTGCGTGTAGGTAAGGCCACGCGGACAGCGCCGGTGAGGTCGCTCTGGACCTAAAGCATTCCAGCCGCAGGCCACGGCGGTGACGTCGCGCCTGCTGAGCAACGTGTGGAGCCCCCGCGGCGACCTGCGTGTTAGGTCAGGCCGCGGGCAGCGCGGGAGACGCATTGTCCATCATCATTGTCGGCGCAGGCCACGGCGGTGCCGTCGCTCCTGAGCAGCACCGTGTGGGGCCATCCAGCGGCGACCTGACTGTAGGTCAGGCCCGCGGGCAGCGCCGGGAGGTCGCACCGACCATCAGCATTGCTGCCGCGGGCCACGGCGGTGCCGTCGCTCCTGAGCAGCACCGTGTGGCACCCTCCAGCGGCGACCTGACTGTAGGTCAGGCCCGCGGGCAGCGCCGGGAGGTCGCACTGACCAGCATGATTGTCGCCGCGGGCCACGGCGGTGCCGTCGCTCCTGAGCAGCACCGTGTGGCCATCTCCAGCGGCCAGCATCTGCAGCAAACGAGGGAAGGGTAGCGGCGTGGGTACCTTGTCCTCCTCTGAGCCAGCGCGGAACGCTGCAGTGGAAGCGAGGGCGCGTACGCGCGACCTGGCGCGTGCAGCTTGCGCGCGGATGCCCGGGCAGACTGCCCCGTCTCTCCCTCTCCACGGAGCCTGGGCCCCTCGAGCCGCGGTCCCGAGAGAGAGGCCCGGGGGCCTGCCCCGAGGTCCGACGCTGGAAGATAGAGGCAACATCGCGGACCGTCGCGACCAGAGCCCGGCGGGGAGCGAGGGGCGGAAGTGAGGAGGAGGTGGCCTTCTCAGAAGGCGGCGGGATTTCTCAGGAGCCCTCGCGCCTTCCGGGAAGCTTTCTGTGCCTTCGGGGGAGGCTTCGGAAACATACCATCAGGCTGGGGGACTTCCGAACCTTTTGAGAAGGCCTCCTCCTTCTCACTTCCCCCCTCGCTCGCCGCGGGAAAATAGATGCACCATCGCAAACAGTCGCGACCAGAGCCCTGGACTTATGTTACTCCCATCGTACTTAAGGACCATACCCCAGAAATGTGCTGTCGAGCACCCAGGCAAGTATCGAGACAGTGTCTGCCCGACACGCTGGCGAAATGTCGAACGAGTATCGCCTGCCAGGGCCCGACACGTGAACACCCTCCGGTGTCGGCATTTTCATGGCGCTCGAAATTCGCTCTGGCGGTCAAGGCTGAAGTGTGTTGGAACATCTTCACCCTAGACCCGATCACCCTGCTGCATGTGTCGAGCAGGATGGATCCGTGATGGCCCCGGGACCCGAAGCCAAGCCACCACGCCAGGTGTGAAAACACTGCAGCGCTCGGATCTCGGGGTGCTGCGACCGTCGCCGATATCCAGGCCCGCGCCTCGAGCAATCCTGCCAAGCGCCTCGAGCAGTCCTGCCAGGCCAGAGGCACGGCCGCCCCCCTCGCCCTGGGAGGGGGCTCGGTGCACGTC